AGGATAACCCAAATGTAAAAGTTCACAAGAGCCAGAAGTTGGTGCTCATGTCTGTTATCCTAACTACTCAGGAGTCTGAAATCTGAGGGTCACAGTTCAAAGTCAGCCTCCGCATGTTTCTTCTCAGCGTGCTTCCTGTGTCCTGCTTGAGGTCATTTAATAATATCTGCACAAGATAGCACTTCCCAGAAGAGAACTGTCCAGTCTCAGCTCAGCTGTGTTGTGTGTGAGGAACCTTAGGTTAAACTGAATCTTTCAGATTCCCCCAGACTCCTTATAATTCAAGGAATGAGAGGCTTTGCCTGTGGGCAGCATCCTTAACAAGTACTTTCTTGAAAATATTGTGGAGCAGAGTGAAGGAAGAGACAAACTTGTCATGTTTTGTTTCAGAACAAGCATGTGACTTTTCATGTGAACCTACTACTGCTCAGTTTCCTGAGATGCCCCTTGCTTTTCTTAACCCATGGGTTGAAGGTTCATTGTTGGCTCAGTGAACAGCAGACAGTGCTATGCAGGTCTTCTTCAGGCCACGGACAGAGCAAGAGGAAATAGCCTTACTCAGAAATCGGGTGAGGCTGGAGGAGAACACCTTGACCTGAACAAATCAAGAAGACTGCTGGAGCTCCTGGAGAAGGAGTGGAGTCATCCTTTACTAGTGATTTCAGATGAAGAGATCCTCCCATGTGCCCAGGAATGAGCCTCTTAATACCCAGGCCCTTGCGAAAGATCCTTAGCCTGATGGTGCTGCAGAGACATTCCAATCTCCTAGGCACAGTGCCTAATGCTTACAGTTGCAGGAAGAGTTCCCAGGTCCACTGCTAAATTCCAATATTTCTAATGACTCAAGGACCATCACCAGATCCTGGCCAGTTTCTCTAGGCAGATTAATTTATGCAAATGCTACCCTGTTCCTTTGCAGAAGTTCCTTAAATAGCAGCAAAGGGAACTTCTGGATTCCAGGGGGACGCCAGGTCTGGACTGCTTCACAGGGAAGAAAAGAAAGCTGGTTTCGTGCCACTGCTGCTGTCATTGGAGGCCCCTGGGAGCTGAAAGCAATGGGAGGAAGACATAGGCTCTTATTTCATTCTGGGAAGATCTGCTGGGGGAGAGTCCCTGAAAACATTTGCCATCATTCATCCTTAGCCTCTGGCATTCCCAGTCCGGCAAACAAGAGAGGCAGGAAACAGAGCCGCCCTCAGGGGAATGGACATAAACTCTATCCTTTGCCTATGTGAGTTATCTCAGGTTAGATAAAACCCTGCTTTTAGGGACCCCTCTGTCACTGGGCTGTCAGAAGATAGCACCAGGTTAGCTCCAAGCAGATCCTGAATGTGCATTGGCCCTGGGCCCAGATGGAGGCCATGATGGGGAGGCTGTCCAGTCACCCTCCCTCCATCTCCTGCCCCCAGAACATCCAACAATTAATCCAAAGACCTGTGCCAGCTCTGAATCCACGCACCCAGCAGGCACCTCCACTATGCATATGGACACTGCCAGTGAAAAAAACTGAGGGTAGCACAATGCAGCATTTCTCTGGCCTCCTGCCTTCACCATGCAGTAAAAAACAGAGTCCAGGTAAGTGTTCAACAATTAGTAATGAAAATCTCTGCTAAAATAGTCACCTTCTGCCAGTCATGCCTGATTTTTAAGTCCGATTCAACACCTTCCTTCTCCTTGACAATGGAAAGGCTAAGGCATGCCCTAGCTGTTCCTTCCACGGAAACCTTGACACCTTGGGCATCACATGCTGCTGTGGCTTCCCCACTGGCTTCCTGTTCCATGCAGATTCAGCCTTAAATATCCTCATTGAGAACACTTTCTCTAATAAGAGATGGAAATAACAAGGTGGCATGTCCTTATTAACAAGCAGATGAGACGAGAACACCCAGGAGAATTGTCACCTTCCCAGCCAGAAGCAGCCTCCTTCCCCAACAGGCTCATGACTTGTTTTCTCTCTTATTCATCCAAGCTCAAATGATTGTAGAAATTGTTGGTCTCTCCAACAAGCACCCAGCTGTGACAGCTGTGCCTTCTAGGACTGCCCCTTACCCTGTCACAAAGGAGTGGCTTTCCATTGGTGCCTGAACTACAGTTGCAGGCCAGACACTAGGCAAAGTGTGTGCTGAGCTGGTCCTCCCTCCTTGGCACAGAGCTTTGCAGAGCATACATTAATGGGAACAGGACGTGTCAGTCACAGGGCAGAGCTGAGAGTTCAGGGGACAATGGAACAGAGCAGCAAGACCTAAAGGAACCTAACCACACCCTTATCTAATAAGACCCCTGTGAAGTCTAGAGCTGTTGTAGCCAGTTCTGTGGTGACAACTGGCTGTGGATTGTGAGAAGAACCACACCTTGCCCATTTACCACCTACACTGAACACAGTTCACTTTATATCCCTTAAAGATCCATAACTTAGGTGCTCAGAGATCTTACTCGCTGCTCCTCACATTTAGTCATTAAGCTATCCTAACTGGAACTTGGAATTTTCATTATGTGAGAATCTTGAAAAATCTAAAAGAGACAAGTCACACCATGCCCTGATTCATATGCAAATAGAGGATGCTGGCATTTCAAAACCTGCAGACAGAGAACAGTAAGACATGAGAACAACCAACAAACAGAATACAGAGGCTAAGGGTGCAGAGAGGAATGCCAGCCAGAGAATTCACAGAAAATGCTGACCACCTGAATCCATGATGGAGAAGACCCTCATGTGACGGATTGCAAATGCAGCTGCTTTGTCCTGAATCTTAATAAATGAAGACAATTGCCGTATCTTCTGAACAGCATCCCTGCCTGCATCTAACTTGTTCTTCACCCCATTGCCTCCTGCCATTTTGCTCTCAGTCTTCAAGATTTGCAATGGTGGTGTCCTGTATTTGTATGTGATTCAGGATCCAGTTTAGAATCTTCAGGATCCCCCCCTACTCTGATTCATGCCCCTAACCCTACTCTTATGGCTGCTCCTATGCCTCAATGGCCTTCCTGGCCTGTATACCTGGCCCTCCAGCTAACTCATACCATACCAGCTTCCAAGATACTATCCAACCGTGACTTACTAAAGCAAGCCATGCTGTTTCAACTCCCCTGTCAAGTTGACTACACTCTTCTCTGCCCTGTGGACTGCAGTCATAGCTCACCTTATTATGTTTGAATGCTGTGTTGTTAATTCTTGGAGTCTAAGCCCTTGTCTTATCAAAGTTAACTGTGCCTGCTCTCTGGGTCTTTTTCATATGATCGTGGTACACAAGGATGCCGGTAAAGAAAATCAGTATCCTGGGGCATATTTAATACTCCCCAAGGCCTAATCACGTTTGAGATGCTCTGCATAAAAGGCCCTCTGTATTTGAAAGAAGTAAGTCAATAACTATCTATAAGATTAAGAGATTTTTGGAAGAAGGCAAAAAAAAAATTACCTTGGAAATCAATGAAAGGAACAGTCAGAGAAGAAATATAAGACTCTGACACTAGCAGAAAAATAAGTTCATGGATTGTTTGCCCACATGGTCAAGACCTCTTTGACCAACATGGCCCTAGTCTCAATTCTCAACTTGGCTTTCCATCACTGCTTTCCACCTCTCTGGCCAGCAGCCAGGCCAGACTCTGCCCACGGCTTCTGCTTGTGCTGGCTTCTCTCCCCAACATTCACCTTCTCCACTCATGCCAACCTCTAGGTGCACAGTTGCCCCTTCTCCAAGACGAATGGGCAGACTTCCTCCACTGTGCCCTGAGCAACCATGGTCTTTCCTCAGTGTTCCTGAAAGGGCCTGTCTTCACATCATCTAGGCTCTTACTTGCTTGTCTCTTCCACCCTTTCAATGGAGTATAAATTCCATGTGGTAAAAAAATAAACAGATTCTTCCTCCTCATAGTTCCCTCTCTATAACCCAGATCCTCCATGAGTATGTGTCACATTGAGCTGAAGCTCCTCCATGGCTATGGGAAAACCCATTTGACAGAGAAGGCAGAAGTGTTTGTTGTGAAGCCCAGTGACTCTGCCTGCTGTATACTGACTAGATAGAAATGTCCCCTTGAACACCCCAGGAAAAATCAGTATTTCACAGCTCATACATCAGATGATCCAATCCTCTCTAAAGCTAGATCTACTATCCTCTACCCATCGCTGAATTGAAACGTTGTACTGTGAGGTTGGCCTATAGGCTTGGACATAGGTCACTGAGAAAATCAGAGAGAAACAAATAAGTAGATTGGTGTGTGGGAAGGGAAAGGCCCAGTTCTGTACAGCAGAAGCAAGGGCCTGGAGAGCTTCAGTGTGGGCTGTGTGTGGAGGGCCCTTGTGAGCAATGAGGGCACTGTGTTAAGGGTGAAACTACTCACCCACCAGCATCCTCAGGACCCATCTGTGCTCAGAACTTCCCTTTCATGTATCTTAATTTCGGAAAGGGCAGAATACAGAGAGGAATCAGTAGTGCCTAAGAGCAAGTGAACAAATGCTGACCTCCTGAGAGCCCCTCATCCTGAACCATAGGCTACCAGGAGGACTGTGTCCTGGGGACCTCATGTGCTGTAATCCAGCCCCTGGCAAAAGTCACATTCCTCTTCCTGCCAGTACCGTCCAAACAATGTCTACAGGGGGAAGATCATGGCAATGTGGTTGAGGAAAAGCATAAACCCTGCACATATTCCTTTTGCATTCCCCCAAGAGTTCTTTATCTTCATTAGCGTGCTCAGCCAAGCACTTGCCCATTTTTGCTAACCTGTTGGATACATTCCCATGTTCAATACTTCAAGACTGCAGTATTGGTCCCTATTGTAAGGAGGACCTGCCTGCATCTCCCCCCACCTCAAAGGTGGCTCGTCCTCAGACTGCCACAGACTCCTCTTCATTGTTTTGTCTGCTTCTGTCTTTGGAGAACAAAATTACTGGTAGTGCTTTATTGCTGAGACATTGCTGGAAGTTTCCACTGATTGGCAGTGTTTTCATGCAGCATTGAACAGCAAATTTCCTGACTAACGAGGTCTACCTTCTCCTCTCATAGGCCCAGAAGAAGCACAGGAAGTTCACCAAACCCAACAGAGCACACCACTCCTATGAGAAGAAGCCTCATTATGCTCCTTCACCCACTACCACTGCACCTAGCCATGCACCGGGCATCAGAGAGCCAACCCCATTCACAGTGCCCAGCCGGAGGAGTTTGCCTCCTGAGCAGCAGCAGGAATGTGCCAGACTAGCCAGTAGCATCCCTTGCCCTCCCTGGTCTTTCCAGAGAAGCAAGTCCTTGTTTTGTTTGCCCACCCAAGGCCCCTCCTCAGTCTCTTCAGCTGAACCACAGTGGTTTTCTAACATCGATGCCCCAAGCCACAGGGCATCAGAGAGGAAGTCTGGTCACCTCTTCTCCATTGATGATTTAGAGGGGGCCCAGGAGACAGATGTAGACACAGGCCTGCGGCTGTCCTCCTCCGACCTATCAGTGGTCTCAGCATATTCTGCCCCAAGTACGTTCTGCAGTTCTGTGGAAACTTCCCTGTCTTCTGAAAGATTCAACAGCCACAAGCCAGCACACAAGGATCCCAGAGAAGAAAGACCTCTACCTACAGCCAGTGGGATGACCCCAGAATCCTCATGGACTCCCCTCCCCTTCCTCACCAAAGGGTCTGCCAGCTCCTCAGAGACAGCCATCACTGCCCCCCCAGCTTTCAGTGCCTCGTCACTCAGAGAATCATCCACACAGCTCCCTTCTGATGCCCCCAAAACTACAAGGGCTGACCAAAATATACCACCACCAGCAGCAGCAGCAGCAGTGGCTGACGTGGAGGAGTTCTACATCTGATCATGGCTTGTCTTCCAAACACAAACTCAGACCCACAGGCTCAGGTCCCCCAGTGTTCTCAGCCTGGATTTCCAGGTCTATCTGGGACACGTTAATCCGTTTCTGGGGGTTTATTAGCACAGAGGCCCTGCCACACCTCCTTAGCTGAGACAATGTATTTCTAGGGACATGGTGGAAAAAAATACTGACATTTCTATGCAAATAAGTTCTCCACAAACTTAAGTCCTAAAATATATTTTGAATATTCCATTATACAATTTAAATGCTTTGTATAATTATTTAAGATGAAGAGAAAACCCAGTCAGCCAGAGCTGACTTGGCAAATGTTTCATGCTGTGAAAGTGAAACAATTAAAGCCAACATGTTGAATGTGGGAGAGAAAGCAAGTGACTTCTAAGAGCTATCCAAGCACAATGACAGAAAGTACGGCTTATTGGAGTCTCCCCTCCCCCATAGATTTATATTTCCACAGGACAATGGCCCTAGAAATTTGCAAGTCTTGCTTAGAGCTGACAGGCAGCCTAAGATGGCTGTCAGCTTACATCAGACTGCAAAATGCCTCCCTTCAAAACCCCTGCAGCATACGAAAATCTGGATTTGGACCAAAGTGGCTAATATGCTTTGAAGAATTTAGCATGAGTCACAGATTCCCGGTGCAGTTAAATAATTTCAGTTCTCAAACCTAGATTTGCAAATACTTTTTCAACAACACATTCACTGTCATGAATGATGGGCTGAAGATCAGTCCACCATCTAGGCTGATTTGGATCACCCAGACAGACACGGTCTTTGGAGATAAAGTATAATAGGATGTGAAACATAATGGTTAGACGGGCTTCATAAGACTCTTCCACTTTCAAAAGCACAATCCAAGGGCCACATCCATAGCTCTGTAAGTGACAGGAGCCACATTTTACACTGTTTTCTTTTCTCAAGAAATATACATGGCTCTCCTATGTTCTTCATTTTTTTAATAACTTGGAATGTTTCAGCCAGTGTTTTCTGACTGCACAGATGAGCAAGTGTCACCCTTCCCCCACAGTGGGAAGCCACCCAAAATACTCTTTCTGAGCGAACACTGGTACCCTGCTAGCCTTCGTGAGGACATGGGAGCCTTAATTAAAGCTGATGCTTTAACCCAACATTGGCTTTTCCGGTCTATTGTCCCATTCTGCCACCCTGTGAATGGCATTTAAGTCTCCCTGTAAGGATATGTTTACAACTGCAATGTCAGCAATGCCAAGTGCTAGCATCAGGGGCAATGCGTCCCTGATGCTATTTAATATTTACAGAGAAACAACATGGACCTGCGTTGTTCATTTACCAGCCTGGTGCTCCTTGCCTGAATTACTCAGGAGCCACGTTTCTTCTCCGGAAGTGTTCACACCAGCTGTCACATGGCCTCCAGGCTGCTGTTACCAGTCATCAGACTTGAGCTGCAACCTAAGGTGGGCCACCCTGTAGCAAGGGCTTTAGATCCTTCCTCAAACACCCTGGACTTCCCAGGACTTGGGATTGTAATATTCTGCTCCAATGTAAATAAAATTTTTTTAAAGAAAATACATGGTCTCTTCTAAATTCTAGGCCATGAGTGAGCAGACTTTTTCTGAAAAGGGCTAGATAATAAATGTCTTAAACTTTGTCAGTAATATTTTAATCTTTGTCAATCTCCACTTCAATTGTGGCATGATAAATAAAATGTAAATGAATGGGAGTGGCTGAGTTGCAATAAAACTTAATTCAGAGGCTGGGAAGGTAGCCCAGCGGTAGAGTGCATGCCTTGCAAGCATGAGGCCCTGGGTTCGATTCCTCAGCACCACATAAACAGAAAAAGCTGGAAGTGGTGCTGTGGCTCCAGTGGTAGAGCGCTAGCCTTGAGCTGAAGAGCTGAGAGACAGCGCCCAGGCCCAGAGTTCAGGCCCCATGACCGGCAAAAACAAAAAACAAAAAAACAAAAACAAAACTTAACTCACCAGTGCAAGTGGTAGACCAGAGTTGACCTAAGAAGTAGTTGACCAGCCCAGATTCTAGTCCACAACAAAAATTTAAGTTCTGCTCCCCATTCTGCTGTTCTGTGTAATAATAACAAGAAAATGGGTCTCCTGGGCCAAGCCAGTGACCACAGACCCTTGAAGTGCTCAGAACAGAAAGGAGAAGCTTTCTCCAGAGCTGGTTCCTAGAAAGCAGCCAGCAGCCCACCTCCTCCCTAGAAATGTGACTCCAAGTCAACAGCATATGAATGTTATAAGGAAAAAATAAAAATTTAGAGATGATGACAGTCTAGAGAACAGGGAAGCAAGCCCATGTAGCAGAAGGCAATGAAGTGGATCAAATGCCTAGTGATGATTCCCATCTTCATCCTTAATGGCACTCCTATTTTAGCATATTTGCATACCTTGTTAGGATTGTTGTAGAGCCCAACCCAGTGGGTCAGTGGGGACCCGAGATGATGAGACTTTTGTGACCCTGAGAGGGTTGGCACATGGTAAAACAAATGGGGTTTTACTTGAGCCCCAAGCTATTAAAGTCAGCGGGTGAGGTGACCTTCACAGTGGCATACTGGATCACGCCATCGAGGGTATCTCGGAGACCAGATACTTACTTTTAGCAGAAAGACCCTGGGATATATGGCTGATGTCTTTAGCCTCCAAAGAAATCAGAAGACATGCAAGTGTTTTCCTGGCCCTGTACTTTCTATAGCTGAATTCTCCAACTGTCAGTCCTTCTCTATTAGTAAACACAGAAGTCTAGGAGCTTAAGAGCAAGTACAACAACCACTGGAGACTTGGGGAGGAAGAGGGAAAGGGAAGGGCGAAAGGAGGCCACACTGAGGGGAGAATAGGAGTGAGAGATAATCAGCATAATGTAACCACCAAGTGCTGTTTGAAAAGAGGTTGTTGAAGACAGGTGAGCAACGTGAATACAATAAAAGGGGTGAATTCATAAAATATGCACTGTGTGCATGTATGGAAATGTCACAGTGAAACCCCTCATAACTGTATCTTAACTCAAAAATGAAATGACTTTTTAATGTAAAGAGAACAAATTTTGCCTAGAACTTAAACAAGCTTTTGAGAGCTCCCATTTGGTTCTGTATATTCACAAGAGAAATAAAGCATCCTTTTGTCAGAAAAAAAGAGAGAAGAAGAAAGAGAAAAGAAAGGAAGGAAAGAAAGAAAAAAAAGGAAGGAAGGAAGGAAGGAAGGAAAGGAAGGAAGGGAAGGAAGGAAAAGAAAGAAAGAGAAAGGAAAGGAAGAAAGAAGAAAAAAAGAAAGAAAGAAGGAAGGAAAGGAAGGAAGGAAGGAAGGAAGGAAGGAAGGAAGGAAGGAAGGAAGGAAGGAAGGGAAAGAAAGAAAAAGAAAGATAGACTGGGGCTGGGAAGGTGGCTCGGTGGTAGAATTCTTGCCTAGCATGCATGAGGCCCTGGGTTCGATTCCTCAGCACCACATAAGGAGAAAAAGCTGGAAGTGGTGCTATGGCTGAAGTGGTTCAGCATCGAGCTGAAGAGCTCAGAGACAGTGCCCAGGCCCAGAGTTCAGGCCCCACAACTGAAAAAAGAGAAAGAAAAGAAAGAAAGGAAGGAAGGAAGGAAGGTCACTCAGTGGCAGAGTACTGCTTATCACACAAAGTTCTGGGTTTGATCTCAGCATAAGAGAGAGAGAGAGAGAGAGAGAGAGAGAGAGAACTTCAATTTCTACTTTGGATGGTAACAACTATTGTCCAAAGATGTGCCACAATTAGGAACAATATACTTCTTGCAGGCAGAAGTCACTAGAATAATATGTGACAGAATGTTCCTACATGATTGATGACATCCTTCCCATCCATTTGGTACAAAGTCCTCACCTCCAGGCGCCTGGAGCCCCCATCAGCCCTATTCTAGATGGTAGAAGCCCTGTCCAATTGGGGACATTGCTAATCTTGAGTGTGTGAAAGTCACGTTCTACTAGATTCAAAGCACCCAAATGTGTGTGGTACTATCCTAGAAATGGCTGCTGAACAGAAACACTTCCAGGCCATAGTGGGTCACTGGAGATGGCTATGAGAAGACTTTGGTGCCACCTGGTGGCCGCTGTGTCCAGGAGGGTCAGTAACAGCCCTTTTCCATCAAAAAGATTCCATTTGACTTCCTTTCATTATCCCAAGTTTCATTTTTCTATTTTGTTTACTTCTAAAGAGCATTAAGACGACTTAAATTACAGTGAGATAAAATAATGTGAACAGAAATAGAAAAATCAGATTAAAGAATAGAATGGGGTTAAATGCTGCAGTTGACTGTCCAGGAAGCCAGGGGAAAAAGGGAAAGGTGATTGGCTTTATAGATCTCATTCAGGTCCAGAGAATCCTATTTCATTGTGATTTAAGTTGCCTCAATGCTATTTTTCCAAAAGCTGATTTCTAAAAGTATCTTCTCATCAGGAAAGATTCATTGGGGATTTTCTCTGGTCCAAGTTGATGGCTTTTCAACTTGGAGTGTGGAAAGGAGAATATTTAGAGGGCAGGGTACCCACCCCAAGTGCTCTGGACATGGTCCTGAGATCTCCACCCATCATCCTGTGGCGAGAGGAGGAAACTCCTGGTGTGTGGGAAGGGTGAGGCTGGTTTTCCACATTCTGTAGCTGCATGGCCAACTTGGATTTTCTTCCCCACCCCCACCCCCACCCCAAGAAAAGGCTTCCAGTGTAGTGAAGGCTTTCAGGTAAGATGAGTCTCCTCATCTTCCCCAATCTTCAATGACATGCCTGAGAAGACATAAGAATTCCAGTGTCAGAAACTCTTCCTTAGCCAGGCACAGCTACTCAGGGGGCTGAGATCTGAGGATGGTGGTTCAAAGCCAGATGGGGCAGAAAAGTCTGTGAGACTCTTATCTCCAATAAAGTACTCAGAAGAAGCTGGAAATGATGCTGTGGCCCAAGTGGTAGAGGACTCAGAGACAGTGCCCAGGCCCTGAGTTCAAGCTCCAGGACTGGCAAAATAAAAGAAAGGAGGAGTGGGAGGAGAAGGAAGAGAAAGAAGGTAACTCTTCCCTCTTCATTGCTTTGAACAGATTTGCATATTGTCATTCATGCAACATTCAGCCAGTAGTTATTATGTCCCAGTGTGCATCAGGCAGCCAGCCAGGTATTGAAAGGAACAGACATACCACCCTTGAGGAATTACTCTTCTTCTGCCAACATTATTATTTACTATTTTTCCATCCATTTTAGCATCTTCCTGGTAGAGCGAATGGAATTTACCTCAGAGTCACAGCCTCACATTTTGACACTAAATAGACTTGATTCCTAGTTCTGACTCTCACTTGCAGTGTGGCTGAGTTATTTCGTTTCACCATCCATAACAAATGGACAGAGCTCTTTATTTTGGAGAGTCATTTTGAAATTTTAATTAAGTAATTTATGCAAAAGACCCAAGACTACCTCTCAGTGCTTCATAAATGTTGATGTTCTTTTCTTTCTTTTCTTGTGTTCTAATCTTTCCCTAAAGAATAACCGTACCTTCTATCCAGCAGGTGCCACGCTATGCCATTCCAGACTCCTGTGAAGAGTCAGGCAAAGTTTTGCTTCAGCCAGTTCTCTTCCCACTTCCCCTCTACCATCTCCAGGTAGAATTCACCCACCAGGAAATCATATGTGCTGATCACCTCACCATCCACTAACCTCCCACACCTCCCTGATTTTCTCCTCCATTTCCAGCTACCACCCACAAAGCCAGGCCCTGAAACATCTAAACATCTTGCTTGCAAATCTCCAGTTCTGAGGTCCCCTTCCCTAATCCCTTTCCTCTTGCTTCCTGACCCATCAGTTCATCAGCCTGTGAAACCTGCTTTACTGCTGGTCTATTTCTCTGCCTACTCTAGAGTCCAAGGTTGTCCATTTCCCTGTTGCCATCTGTAATAACCTGAGACATTTGCCCCTCTGGCCTTCTGGGGGCCTGACCTAGCCCAAGCCCTCCCATCCCATCACTTCCAAGCATTACTGTACTGAGTTGCTTCCATCCTGTGCTATTTGGCCAACTTTTATCCACCTCTTATTTCTGGTCTCAACGATCCAGACTCATCCTGACTTCCCAGATGCTTCCAAACCCTTTGGCTTTGGATTATTCCCCTCTCAAAATTTAGCCATGTTTATTATAGCACTATTCACCATAGCTAAGGTATGGAATCAACCCAGATACCTCTCAATGGATGAATGATTCAAGAAAATAGGGTATACATGGAATTTTACCTATCCATCAGAAAGAATGTAAAGCAATGGAGAGACCGGGAAAAAATTGTGTTAAGTGTAGTCAGTCAGGCCTGAGAGACAAAGGATGCATGTTCTTCCTTATATGTGGAAGCTGGATTTAGCTTATAAACTTATAAGCAAATATGTTGGGCAATATGTAAATGTATACAAGTGTATTAACTGAAATACAGTGGATTCAAAGGAGATCTCAAATAGTATAATTCCTTAGAAAGGCAAAGTCAAAGTTCAGCAAAATAAAGAACCAGAAAGCGGGTTCTTGAAAAGTGTGGGGTGGGGTCAAAGAGTAAGGAGTGGACAAA